AGAGATTTTGTGGATCAACATAAACCCAAGAAGGTTGCAGACCTGGGATGTGGTGACACAGAGCTCCTAAGGCTGCTGAAAATCTACCCATGTATTCAACGGCTTGTTGGAGTAGATATCGATAAGGAAAAATTGCAGTCAAATGGGTAATATTTAGTGTTAGATTTGGATATGGTTTATCCCCCAGAGTTTCATGTGGTGGTGTTAAAATGAAACAGCTGTGAAGAAGTGGGGCCGAGTGGAACTCACTTAGGTTCTGGAGGCTCTGTTCTCATGAATGAATTAATGTCTGCCTGCCTCCCTCTAGGGAGAGGGCTGTGTCTCATGATTGGATTTAGTTTGAGGTTGGGTTATGAGGCCATTCCTTGTACTTGGCACCTTTATGCTACCATTTCCTTTTTCATTTTCCTATATTTATGTTAGATATTCACAGATTATTTTGAGAATGTTTTTCTTCTAAAGAACAAAAAACTGAAAAGTCACTGATCCAAAATGAACCAGAAGACCAAAAATATTAAGAAAGAGAACAATATCAAATATTCAAAATCTTTTTTTTAAAATAGAGAGCGAGAGAGAGAGAGAGAGAATTTTTTAATATTTATTTTTTAGTTTTCGGTGGACACAACATCTTTGTATGTGGTGCTGAGGATCGAACCCGGGCTGCACGCATGCCAGGCGAGCGCCCTACTGCTTGAGCCACATCTCCAGCCTTTCAAATCTTATTCTCTTTTTTTGGGTGGGGGGTACCGGGGATTGAACCCAGGTTGCTTTACCACTGAACCACATCCCAATTCCTTTTTATTTTGAGATAGGGTCTTGCTAACTTGGCATTCTCCTGCCTTAGACATCTGGGTCATAGGGATTACAGGTATGTGCCATCATGCCTAGCCAAAATCTTGTTCTCATTGCCCAGTAATTCCCCAAAATGAGAGCAAATTGCCCTATGACCCACTGTTTACTACATCAAGACAGGAGAATGGACTGAGTCAAACTTAGATTAATGTAGGTAGAAGATGATTATCTAAGGATTTGAGTTCTCTCTCTGAAGAGAACTTTTTTTTTTT